TTCCCTTGTTTTTTCATGTTGTTAGTGTGTTTTCCCATCTAAAACTATGGATCTAAGGCAGGATAAGTTCTACTCTGTAGACCTGTAGTGTTCCTGAAGGTTTCCAGTGCTTTACCTTTACTGGTAAGACCAATATCAACAGCACCCAGTGTACACAATATATAGCCTTAACCTAATAGCTCTCACTAAGGTGTCTACTGCTTTCTCACATTAAACCAAAATGATGAGTTCAGTAACTAACTATAGAATATTTATTAAAATGATTTACGATTTCAAATGGTGGATGAGAGAACAGAGGTGGTATAGTATGCAATATTCGCGAGGGAGGAAGAGAGAGGCTTGAAGTAAAAATTCACAGGAAGAGTGGAAGAAGAGCTGACAGAGATTGGCTATTGGTTAGAGAAAAGTTGGAAAATAAATCACAGAAAATAGAAGAGAGAGGAAGAATACGAACAAAGAGAAAAAATTGAAGACATAAGAATATAACAAAAATGCAAAACACCATTCATGTGTCATTGTCCTCCACACCTTAATGCATAAAAAACATCCTGTTCCAAATATGGTAGAGAGATTAGTGAATCAAAAAATAATATAAAATAAATCTTGCTGGCAAGTCAAACTGTCTCTGTTAGTGTTCAGCAGTTTCTCAGTCCTGTCTCTGACGTCTCTTGGGATCACCAAACCCACATCAGCCCTCAAAAATCCAGTCTCTGTCCCACCGATCTGGGCTTCAGATACTTCAGGATTGGCCACGCTGCAGTCCCAAGATCTCAGAGCTGCTCCTACTTTCAGAGAAACCACCAGGGATACACTCATGCAAAGGAGCAACCCTGAGATGCAGCAGCAAGACAAGGGCCACCAGCACTCTCAGCTGGAAGCTCCCAGGCTCTTCCAAATCTGCAGGCATCCCCACATTGGACCTGCAGGTCACAGCTGAGTCCCCAGACAGAGGCTGTTATGGTAGTAAACCTGTGGATACCTAGGCCCCAGGCCCTGGCTGGTGTTCCAAAATGGGTGTATCCACATGCAACCAAACCTGGAGTCTTTCCAAAGCAGTCCTCTAGGCTCTGGTAGCAGCGGTACTGGCAGTGGTTGTTGGTAGCAGGCAGTGGGTCAACAGTAGTGACGGCTGCAGCGGCAGCTGCAACTGCAGCTGTGGGGGCAGCGTCACCAGGTGATATCTGGGGGTCAGCAGCAGTGTAGGTTTCAGTTGCATCCAGGGCAGTGGTCTCTTCTGTGTCAGCAGCACCTGGAAAGAAGACCTCTAGGCGATCTTGGCTGGCAGCAGTGGAATCAGAGGCAGCAGCAATGGTGGTAGCATTGCAGGTGGTAGTTGATTGACAGGAGACTTCTGGTTCAGCAGTTATACTCTCCTTTTAATGAAGAAGGTATGATCAAGCCTAGGAGTGGTATAGCCTAGCTTTGAGAATACCTAGGAATAGCAGGCAGCTGAGCTAATATTGAGCTGTCAAAGTATATAGTGAATTTTCTAAACCCAGAAATGGATATTTTTAGAAGAGTACATGTCACACTGCAGCTTCTGAGATGCTACTAAACCTCAAGTTTACGCTTGTTGTTTTTTCCTATCTTGGGTTCTTCTTTCTGTTCTTTAGTACTGAAGCTTAGTGACTTGAAGCAAGAATGGATCATTTCTGAGTGACAGAGGCTAAGAAGTGACAAAAAAGTTGGTAACACTAATTGAATAAGGGTCAGACTGTGGAGTTCTTCTAATCTAAGTCTAGCAGAAGCAATTAAGTATGAGTGTTTGGAATCATAAAGCAGTAATCACTTTCTGAAACAATCAATGAAGGTTTTTAGTTTCTTGCTTCTTCACTATTACTAATTAAATCTCCATTCCTCTAATTAGCCAGTGTCCAACATCAGATCATCTTTGGCTCCACTGATGCTCCTCTGGCTAGATAATCCAGAAGTGTGGAACTGTTAGTGGGGCTTAGTGGTCACTCAGTACAGGCTCTGCTGTTTGTAGGTGAAGCTTTGAACTCCCTCTGGCTTTTATGTGAAAGCTCCTTGTGACATTTACTGAATGCCTTCTATTCCTATTCCTACTGAATATTAATGTTTTTGAGTGCCAAGACTATTTTGGATTCATCTTTTTATTCTCTACACTGGAAATGACAGTGCCTGGAATACAGCTGTTTGGGTCAATAAATATGTGAATTCATTAATTTATTCATTCATTAATTTATTCATTTCATTCACTTATTCATTCAACAGTATTTTTGAAGCTTCTACTCTGAGGGGGGTTTTATAACCCAGTGGGGAAAAATAACCATTAGTTATTTGTTATTAGCAAGGGCCTGTGAGACTATCTAATTGGGACCTGATCTGGTCTGAGGGTCACAGGGATAGCTTTAAGGAGGTGATGTTTGAGCTTAGACCTGATGTAATACAGGGGTTATTAGAAGAAGTAGGTTTGGAGTGGAAGGTGGGAGCTGAAGGGAAGAACATGCCAGGCAGAGGGATTGATGTGTGCAAAGGGCTATCAGTAGAAGGCACCAAAAAGAAGGCTGGTGTGATGGAGCACAGGGAGTGAACTGGAGGTGCAGCCAGAGGTGTCAGGATATTCAGGCCTCACAGGACCCTGGGTAGGATTCTGTTCTCTAACTCATGAACAGTGGAATGAATTCACCTGTGTTATTGGCCCCATCTAGGCTGTCTACTTTCTGCTCTCTCAAATAGCTGGTTGATGTCCCTCATGGGTCTGTAATTCTCTTGTGTCCAGTGCTGATCCTGGCTGATTCATGGCTAGTTGACCAGAAGCTACTTGGCCTGGCTTTACACTTTCTGGTTATTTTCTCCTTTGATAAATTTAATCTCTTATTTCTATGAAAACAGAAATGGTTTCATTATTATTGTAATTACTAGAAACATTGCCATCATAGTGCTTGTGCTGCTCACTGTCACGGGTTTATTGATTATGAAAAGTGAGCTATGCTCTGTTCCAGTAGAGAATAGAACAGCATTGACCTTGCCCTTGAAAATTACAGAGTTTACTGGGGGGGGGGGGGGAGCAGCCGTTAAATTAATAAGCCACAAATATATATTTAATCAGAGAGCTGTGCAGGATAAAAACAGGCATAACTGGGGTAATCTAATTTAGAATGAGGGTACCCTCTTAGATTCTCATGAACCTTACCCCATAACACTTTTTTCCTGGTAGCCCACAGGGTGTTTGTAGCATAAGTGCATGAATTCCTGAATGAGGCAAGTTCTCTTTCTAGTTGCAGAACATGAGACTGGTAGAGATTTGGTCCTTGAGATCATACAGCAGCCAAATGAAAGAGTTGAAGTATAACCATGGGTGTCCTGAGTCGAAGTCTAGCCTCTTTCTCATGTGAAGCTGGTTTGCTACTCTCTGTGCATCACCTGGGAATTTTCCCCATTCACAGTGAAGATCCTTTCAGCCTCTGCTATCCTCTTCTCCTGACCACTTCTCTGCTGCCTGCCATTATGTGGCTGTCTCAGAGTTGAATGATGGCATTGTTTTATTTCCAAATCAAGAGAATCTTGCCTTGGCTTTGTTGTTCTCAGGAGCTCAAGTTTTACTCTCTTGAATACTTCTTGTTGTCTGGATTCTTCATTGTTTCCCTTTTTGCTGTGTTTGGTTCAACAAAAAATTTTTTTGTTATTTTAGTTTTTTCAGTGCAGGCAGTTGAACCAAGAGCCTTGTACGTGCTGGGCAAGTATTCTACCTCTGAGTTACATCCCTGCCCTTAACTGATGTTTTAAATATCTATTCTGGCCATGGCACTTTATTTAGTGCTACTGAAAATATGAGAATGAACATTTGACCTTGGCTTCCTGGTACTTTTATATTATTTTTAAATTTGAGTTTAATTAAATGAAGTTATTTTTTTGAGGTGGGGTCTCACATGTTGCCCAGGCTGGCTTTGAACTACTGTGCTCAGGCAGTCTTCTGGTGTCAGTCTCCCATGTAGCTGGGACTACAAGTGTGCAATGCTCCTTCTGGCTCCTTGTATCTTTTATAAAAGAATGTGAGAGTTGGGCGTGGTGACCCATGCCTACAGTCCCAGTTACTTGGGAGGCTGAGGCAGGAGAATTGCAGTTTGAGGTCAGCCTTGGCAACTTAGGGAGATCCTGTCTCAAAATAAAAATTAAAAAAAGATCTGGCAATATAGCTCAGTGGTAAAGCACCCCTGAGTTCAATCCCCAGTACATTAACCAAAATAAATAAATAAATAAATAAATAAATAAATAAAATAGAGAGAGAGAGAGAGAGAGAGAGAGAGAGAGAGAGAAGAAAAAGGATGTGAGACAAACAGACAAACACACTTATGTAGCTACTTACAATATATTTTTCAGACTGCTGGAGAAAGTAGCTTTTGGTGGTGACTTTAAATGTTTCAGTGGTGGCCCAGGATGAGAAGGCAGTATGAGCAGTGTGAAAGATGTTTGGAGGAGGAAAGTTGAAGCAAATAAATAAATAAATGTTTCAATGGTGGCCCAGAATGAGAAGGCAGTATAAGCAGTGTGAAAGATGTTTGGAGGAGGAAAGTTGCAGCAAATAAATAAATGGTCCTTTAAGACTAAAGCTTGGAGTATTAGAAATGAAAGTGAGTAAACTAGGTTGTCGGCCCCCTTGGGGTGAAGACTTGAGATGCGTGGGTAAAATGTAGTTCCATTTTGCTTCACAGCTGTCTCTTAGCCTGTTAACATTATTCCAGAACTTTCCCCCTTAGAGAATGAGGCATCAGCTCAGCATTTGACATCTAGGTGCTTTTAATACTGTGAGTTTCCAATCGGCTGCTGGTTGGTTTGGTAACAGAAAAATCTGCCAATTTCTGGACCTTTTTTTTTTTTTAAACCAAGAACTGCCTTTTTCCATAAATCTCCCCCTTCAATGAAAGCATTGCCTCTTTTGTTTCTCCTTTTCTGTATGTATATGTATGAAAAGCAATTGCCTGTTGTAGGAATGAACCTCAGCCAGTTGGAGGAAGTCTTATTATTTTTCCTATTAGGCCTTGTGTCCCGAAATCGCCCTGAGGAGGAGGACCAGTATTGGTTGAGTATGGGCAGAACTTTCCACAAAGTGACACTGAAGGACAAGATGATCACAGTAACTCGATACCTTCCCAAGTGAGTTCTTGGATATTTAAAGTCTTTAGCTAGTGTTCTGGATTATGTCTGCTTGCTAATTGTGTATAGTTCTTAGTTCAAACAAAGGAAGTTGAGTTGTTAGTCTTTTCTTTGTTTTAAAATAATCCTGAGATGATTTTAAGGTTATAGCTTACTTCCAAATTTGATTCAGCTTATGTTTAGCATGATTACTATTGAACCAATTAAAAATGAAGAATGTGAGGGAGCTGGGGATATAGCTCAGTTGGTAGAGTGCTTGCCTTGCATGCCCAAGGCCCTGGGTTCAATCCCTAGCACCGCAAAACAAAGAAACAAACAAAAAAAGAATGTGAAGAGAGAATGGAAAATTTAAGATCTGGGAAATTTCCGTAACAGTCCCTTGGGATGAGATGAGTTGGCTGCTGTATTTGAGGGTTGGTTGCCAAGAATAGTGCTAAGTGCATTAGACAGAAAAGAGAGAGAAGAATTGGGAGGAATGATCGTTTGAATGTCTAGGCATGTTCTTTATTTTTCAGGTATCCTTATGAATCTGCCCAGATCCACTATACCTACAGCCTGTGTCCTTCACACTCAGACTCAGAGTTTGTTTCCTGTTGGGTGGAATTCTCTCATGAGCGGCTAGAGGAGTACAAGTGGAATTACTTAGATCAGTATATTTGTTCTGCGGGCTCTGAGGATTTCAGGTCTGAGAGTGTCTTTTCATCATTGCTGCTTGGGTGTACGCATACTTTAATGTTTCTGTCTTTTTTCTGATGACAAAATGGTAGCTGTTATGTCTTTCAGAAATAAATGGAAGAATAAAAGTACATCTGCATGGGTTGAAAAATAGTTATGAGGTGGATAGGGAGATGGTTACACAACAATATGGATGCACCTGTCACTGATTTATATACTCAAAATTGGTTGAAGTGGTACATTTTATTATGTGTAGTTTACTACAATTAAAAAACAACAACAACAACAAAAAATAAAAACAAAAAAACCAACAACAATACTGGGAGCTGGGATATAGCTCAGTTGGCAGAGTGCTTGCCTCGCATGCACATGGCCCTGGGTTCAATCCCTAGCACCACCACCAAAATTACTGGTTTCAGTGGTGATGTGCCCTTTGGTGCAAGTGTCAGTGCAGATCATGTTCTTAATATTTTCTTGACTACCTGGCTGGTTGGTAGCTTTGTGCTATCTCATGTTTAATTTTTTATTTTTATGTACAATTTATGATAATGATGATGCAAAACTACAACTTTGTTGGGCCTGGGTGCACATAATTGTTTTGACTTCTTTGGGATTAAAATAATACTGAGTTTTGTAGTCTTCCTTTTGAGCTTGTGTCTGAAATGAAACCATGCACTGTATCATCAGATGACAGCACACCTGTGGGGAGGTGGAACCTTGCACACCAATCAGAGAGAGATCACTTGGAGCACTTTGAGTATCTAATTTTTCTTACCACTACTTTGTGTTTTCCTTGATCCTCTGTAGCTTAATTGAATCTCTGAAGTTCTGGAGGACCCGCTTTCTGCTTTTGCCGGCCTGTGTCACTGCCACCAAGCGCATCACAGAGGGGGAGGTCCACTGTGACATCTATGGGGATAGACCCCGTGCTGATGAGGATGAGTGGCAGCTCCTGGATGGCTTTATCCGCTTTGTGGAGGGTTTGAACCGGATCCGCAGGCGGCATCGCTCAGATCGCATGATGCGGGTGAGGGCTCCTGGGGTTCCTTAGGGACTGTACCTAGTATGGTGTACAGGATCTGTCACCTCCTATCTCTCAGGAGCCTCCCATTGGCTAGTTTTTTTTTTTTTTTTTTTTTTTTTTTTAAGCCTCATAGCTGTCTAATGTTTATTTTTAATCCCAAACTGTGTTGTTATCCATTGTAGGGTGAAGAAGGGGGGTTATAGGGTACAGACAATGATTGGGCAATGTCCCATGACTGGAGCTGTTCTCCTGAGGATATAGAGCCTTTATCTACTCTCCAAGTGGCCCAGTTTTGAAACAGCTGCCTGTGTGATGTGGTGGTGAATACAGACGTTTAGGAGGTTAACAGAAACAGTCTTTTCTTACTCTGATATCACTTTTAAGAGTTTTTAGCACCCTTGTTTCTTCATTTCAATCACACACTGCTACCCAATGGGAAAACTGAGGCTACTGTTATGGGATATATCTGAGGCACTTTGCCAATAAAGGGCAGATCTAGGATTCAACTGTTTTGTTTTGTTTAAATTAACATAAAATATAATTGACCTGGCTGTGTGTGTGTGTGTGTGTGTGTATGTATGTTGGGGGGGCATACACACTTGCACACAATCTATGAATTTTAACAAATGTATAGATTCAGGCAGCCACCACCATGATCAGCTATAGAATAATTTCATCACTTAAAAAATGCTCCATTATGCTACTGTTTTTAGTCATATTCTCCTGCCTCCCTATCCCCTAGCAACCACTGGCCTGTTGACCATCATGATTCTTTTATCTTTTCTAAATATCACAAAAATGGAATTATATAATATGAAACCTTTTGAGACTGCCTTCTTTCAGTTAGCATTATGCTTTGGGATTTATCCAAATTGTTCTAAGAATCAGTAGTTCATTCTTTTTAATTGCTTGGTAGTGTTCCATCATCATGTTTTTATTTTTATTTTTTTTAACCCAAAACAAAAATTCTTTAATCTTCCTTCTACATCAGCTGCCTTTTGTATGCAGCCTCACTTATGATTAGGAACATTTTTAGGAGATCTTCTATACTGGGAAGAGCTTTGGTTTTGAATTGAGGCAGCTGAAGTTTGAATTTCATCTCCAGTGCAATTTGGAATAAATTACTTAACCTTTCTGAGCCTCAGTTTCTTTTATCATTTCCAAACACGAAGAATCAGTATTCCTCTACTGTGTTAGTTGAATTCCCAGGGCTTGAAGATGAAGAGGCTTATGCTGGTGTGTGAGTGGGGTCTATTGCAAAAGCCCTTTTGAGCTTCATTTCTTCTTTTCTGCTTTAGAAAGGAACTGCCATGAAAGGCTTGCAGATGACTGGGCCCATTTCCACACACTCCCTTGAGTCTACAGGTCCCACTGCTGGGAAGAAAACCTCAGCTCTGTCTGCCCTGCTAGAGATGGAGGCCAGTCAGAAGTAAGTGCCTGGTTCAAGAGGGACCTGCCCCACCCTGAAGACCCCAAGGGTTTTCAGTGCTCTACTCCTCTGTGTGGGGTAAAATCTGTAAGGAGCTTGTAGGAAAGAAGATGTTTACATGAAAAGAAAACAAGGCTAATACCTGGTAAGTGTTGAATAATATGAAATAGGGCAGCAATTATAAACTTTCAGCCTGGGGCTTAATTTGAACTTCAGACACATTTTGTTTATCCTACAGAACATTTTTTACATATTTATATATATATATTTTTTAATATTTATTTTTTAGTTTTTGGTGAACATAACATCTTTATTTTTATGTGGTGCTGAGGATCGAACCCAGCGCCCCGCGCATGCCAGGCAAGCGCGCTACCACTTGAGCCACATCCCCAGCCCACATATTTATATTTTTGATAAATTCTTTCTATGTTGCCCAGGCTAGTCTTGAATTCCTGGGCTCAAATGATCTTCATGTCTCAGCCTCCTGAATAGCTAGGCATATACCACTGCACTCAGCTCTCAAAGCGTTTTATTTTTAAAATTTTTAAGTGTTTGGTACGGGGTATTGATCCCAGGGATGCTCTACCACTGAGCAATATCCCTAGCCCTTTTTACTTTTTGAGACAGGGTCTGGCTAAGTTGTTTAGGGACCTAGTAAATTGCTGAAGCTGCCTTGAACTTGCAATCCTCCTGCCCTAGCCTCCTGAGATTCTGGGATTGTAGGTATGTGCTATTGCATCCAGCTCACAAAGCATTTTAAGAATACTTCATCCAAGGGCTAGGGCTCTAGCTTAGTGTCAGAGCGCTTGCCTAGCATGTGTGATGCACTGGGTTCGATCCTTAGCACCACATAAAAGTAAACAAATGAAATAAAGGCATTCTGTCCATCTACAACTACAAAATAAATAAATAAAAAAAGGAATACTTCATACCCCTCTAAAAAAATGAATACTTTATCCCAAATTTTCTGTTTTGAAGATTTCACATAAAATTCTTGATTTTATATGAATTTTTATATGAAAAATAAATGTAAGATGATCTATGATTCTATTATACAGCATAAAAATTATGTAGTATGGGTTATATAATATAATATAAAGTTATAGATAAGATATAGAGTTGGCTTTCCTTTATTATTATTATTTTTTGAGATAGTGTCTTACTGCATTGCTCAGGCTGGCTTCAAACTCACAGTCCTCCTTCTTCAGTGTGTTTTGCTTTAAGTAGTCTACATTTGTAGTCCGCCACATTGGCTACACTTTATTTTATTTATTTATTTTTTTAGTTGGACACAATACCTTTATTCCATTCATTTATTTTTATGTGGTGCTGAGGATTGAACCCAGGGCCCCGAGCATGCTAGGCCAGCACTCTACCACTGAGCCACAATCCCAGCCCAGGCTACACTTTAGAAGGGCCTATGGTTCTTACTCTGGTCTTGGACCTGTCTTGCATCCTCAGTTATGTTACCTGGCTGGTTTCTCTAGGCATTTGGGAATGTTAATATAGTTCACAGGATACCAGCTGGATGATACCTTGCTTGGGAGGGCAGGGAGAGTGTTCCAAGAGGTGGGATTTAATTTGGTCATGTAGGCATCAAAGGATTTACATCGAGGGGAGGTGGGACTTGGGGGGAAAAGACACCATTGCTATGCATAGGTAGAACCTGCCTTGGGCAGCTTTCTCATCCCCCCAGTAAGATTGGATTCTTTTCCTTTCTTCCTTCCTTTCTTTCTTTTTTTTTTTTTGGTACTAGGGAATGAACTCAGGAGCACTTAACCACTGAGCCACATCCCCATCCCAAGATCAGGTTCTTGACGCAGTGTTTGCCTGCATCCTGGGCCTATGTTCATTAGAGCACTTGTCAGTATTCTCCTGAGTGCCTCAGAAATCTGTTCACTCTTCTTTCCTCTACTGTGACTGCTTTGAGGGCAGAGGTTGTGAGTCTGCCCAGGACATAGTAGGTATGCCGTGGATATTTATGGAATAGTGGAAGATAGGATGCTGAGCATCTCTCTGTATATATGTGGGGCAAGTGTGTTAGGGGAGACTGGACATTTTCTTTTGGGTGTGATGGCCAGTATTGGGTATTGTTCCCAGCAGGAGCCAGCACACAGTACACTTTCAGAAAGCAACAATGAAATGCATGAGAGAGTATGAGGTATACTGGGAGGTGCAATTGACAAGATAGCATGGGAAACTGGATGCAGTACATCGTCATGTGATCTCATACCAGGAGGAATCCTTTGAAAATTATTTTATTTTTGCGGTGCTGGGGATTGAATCCAGAGCCTTGCATATGGTAGGCAAAATCTCCAGCTTGAAAATTTTTCTGTTTTAAATAAATAAATCTTGCTTTACTGATCACCAAGCTGCAATGATCATTGACTCCTGGCAAGTCTTGTTTCATTTATATTCCACTTGTGTTCACCTTTCCTTTTATTTTTTTCTCAAATCCTAGACAAAAATATCTCATCTGTATTATTTCAGAATGTTTCTCTGAAAGATATGTCCTCTTTTTTAAAAAAAAATTCCAAACTACAATAGTATAATTTACCTAAAAATTAAGGCTTTTTTTTTTTTTTTTTTTTTTTAAATACCGGGGATTGACCCAGAGGCCCTTAATCACTGAGCCATAACCCCAGTTCTTTTTTATTTTTTGAGACAGGGTCTCAAAAGTTGCTGAGGCTGACTTTAAACTTGATTCTTCTGCCTCAGCCTCCTGAGTTGCTGGGGTTATAGGAAAGTATTACCATACCTGGCCATTACATTTCTTATATCATAAAATATCTAGTCTGTATTTTTGGTAGAAGTGGTTTCTTCAGGGATAAGCCTAGAGATAGGAATGCTTGGCAGGTGGGTGCCAGGAGACAGAGATTAGGTGGAGGAGGGTGATGATGAAATGGAAAAGATGGGATATGGCAGGAGAGCAGAGGAACCCAGTAGATTGCCCAGAAGATGGCAATGAGAGAAGGAAAGTGGGTAGGTTGGGCTTATTACTGATAGCTCTGTGTCTTCTTCCAAAAATGTCTCTGACCTAGGAAAGGCCCTAGAACTTTGCTTGGCAGCTTCTCCCTATAACTAATCCTTGAAAGAGAGAATAAGAACTGGATGTTACTGGGAAGGATGGAAGGTGTGAAACTAGGTGTGAAGTATCTTATTTTTTCAGTGAGTCATCACTGAGGAGACACCAAGGGCTTCTTTCCACTCAGATCAGGAGAAGAAGGCTCTCTTGGGGTAGTAGTATCCCTTCATGTGAAGGGTGAGAATCAGTTAACCCTATGGCAGGAGGCAGGACAAAGAGACCTGAGGCTTATTTCTTGTTCCCAGATGACTGCTTCAGGGGGACATGCTGTGTTTTTTTAAGAATGGACATAGAGTAGAAAGAGCCAGATTCAGAAGGCTCATATTGTAGTCTTAAATGTTTCATTATTATTGTAATATATGTAGAATTCACATTGGTATCTTCTGGCCATCAGTTCTAGTACCCCATTGTGGACACAAAAACCTGTGAATACTCAAATCCCTTATATACAACAGCACAGTATTTAAATAAAACCACAGACCTTTTCCCACACACTTTATATTACTGATAATATCTAACACATAATAAATGATATGCAAATAGCTGTTATACAGTATTGTTTGGAGAATAATACCTAAAAATAAAGTCAGCATAATACCTAGAACTAAAGTTCAGCACAGATGCAAATTTTTTTCAGAATGTTTTCAATTCATGATTGGTGGAATCCACGAATACAACACCCATAGATGTGGAATATCAACTGTATCATTGCAGTGGACACTGTGAGGCACCACCTAGATCCCTCTGCTATGGCCTTGTTGCCTCAATAACTGGGAACACTGTCCAAGTAGCTCAGGGGTCAGTGCATTAAGGGACAGTCCAAGCTGCAGAGCATCCTCCTCTTAGCTCCCCAACCCACAGGATGTCACAGCCAATTAATGATCAGTGTGTCTGTGAGACAGAGTAAATGTGGTGTGTATGTGTATGTGTTTGTGAAGGCCTGACAATATTGGCCCAACCCAGCTAATCTCTGAAGGCTATGCCAGATCCAGTGTTCAGACAGGGTCACCCAAGGCTGTCACCAGATGCTGCAGATAAGTGTACCAATTCTTGTTTCTTCCCACTCCCTCTCAAAGGTGTTAAGCTCACGGACTCTCCTTAATAAACAGCCTATATGCTAAATTTCCAATTGGTCTGCACCCCCAGGCATGCAATTTGCAACGCTTTTCATCTTAAAATTCTGATTTTTTCTCTGTATGTGGTCCTGAAAATAGAATCCAGGACTTCACTCATGCTAGGCAAAGTTCTATTAGTGAACCACACACCTCAGGCCAAATTCTGATATTTGTGTTACTGATCACAAAGTAATCTCACACCAGCAATTAAAATCTGTCTCCACAGTAACCAGAAACACTCTCTTTTAAAATATTTTGTTATAGAAAAATTCAAACATATGCAAAAGTAAAGAATGTAAGAAATCTTTACATATCCAGCCATCAAAATGATAACACTTGGAGATCATCTTGTTCCATCTATATCTCCCTCCTTCCCACACCAAATCATTTGAAGCAAAACTTACATATGGTATTATTTTTCCATATATATTGCATTGTTTCTAACAGGAAATAATTTTTTTTAAGGTGGACACAATATCTTTACTTTTATGTGGTGCTGAGGATCGAACCCAGTGCCCCACGCATGCCAGGCAAGCCTGCTACCACTTGAGCCATATCCCCAGCCCTAAAAAGGGAATAATTTTTAAAAACACAGCCACAATTAATTTTTTTTTACTTTTATAATATCAATTTCTCCAACTATCTCAAAAAAACCTTAACAGTTTGTTTGATTTAAAACAGAATTCAGGGGCTGGGGCTGTAGCTCAGTGACAGAACATTTGCCTAGCACTTGTGAGGCACTGGGTTCAATCCTTAGCACATGAATATAAACAAATAAAATAAAGGCATGTTGTCCATCTACAACTACGAAAAAAATTATTTTTAAATCAAATAAGGTCCCTACTTTACAATTAGTTATGTCCCTTAAGCATCTTTTAAGGTATATGCTCCTCTTCATCCCTTCTTGCAACTCATTTACTGAAGAAAGTAGCTCATCTGTTCTGCAAATGTACAGTCTAAATGTGTTGATTTCATTTCTTTATTGTTTAACATGTTCCTCTGTGCCCTGCACTTCCTAAGAATTAGAAGTTATACCTAGAGGTTTGGGCAGAGTTAGGCGCAATTTGGGGCAAGAATGCTTCCCAAGTGGAGCTGTACACTTCTATCTGGAGGCCCATAGTGGCTTGCTGCCTCCCTCTGGTGGTATTAGCTGCTACTGATGATCTCTGATAGATTCTTAATTCTTTTAGAGACTATACATAATGATATTCTGTCATTCCTTCTCTCTTTATTGGCTGGAATATATTAAGAGAGAAACTTCCATATCAACTTGGAAACTCTGAGGTATAATTAATAGGGGAATAGCAGAATAAATGCATTTTCCCCTCATCCACTGATATCACACTGCATGTCTATCTATCTGTCTTCTTCTACCACAGTGCAGCCATGTTTTCCTAAGCCACATACACAAATACACTCCCTGACATTCTTTGGTACTTCCTGAGGGCAACAGCAGTGGCAAGAATTCTCAGTTACTCCCATTACCCCTCCAGATACACTGATACATATAACAATCTACATTGACTGAATTGCCTTTCATGTGCTCTGACTAGGTCAGAGATTCAGACATTAGAAAGACCCTCTCCTTGACCTTAGAGGCTCCTTGTCTAACAGTTCAGGGAGGAGACTGGCACAAAATGATGAGCACCAAGGTATACATATGAGAAGATATACAAGGACACACTGTATTCTGACAAAAGACAGGCAGACAAGCCCATATGCATTGGGTGGGCCTGAAAGGATGAACTGAAGAAAGACAGCCTACACAGAAGCAGAAAGACAAAGTACAGAGATGCCCTTCACATGCCTTGGTAAGTAGACAGTATGCTATATCACATGGCTGGTCTGCTTTCAGCATGGAACCCAAAGCAACAAGCACACATAAGAGGCTCTCTGAATAGGATGAGAACATTCCAACTGTTTGAAGTGTCTGTCTGTGTTGCCCTCCCTCAACTTGGCTGTCACCAAGCTTTACTATTCTAATAGAAGTAGAGGAGCCTGCTGGCCAATACCTGTTACCTAAAGTTGATTCTGCTGCTGTTAATCAGCAAACACATAAGACTTCAGAGGCATCTGCCTTCCAAGAGAGACTGACAAAATGTCTGTGCCTACAGATAAAAACTGGAAGGAACTAGAAGAAATGAAGACAAGCTAGGAATGGTGAAACATGCCTGCAATCCTACCTACTTAGAAGACTGAAGCAGGAGGATCCCAAGCAACTTAGCCTAAGCAACTTAGCAAGACAGTCTTAAAAATAATATATTTTTTAAATGGCTTCAGATAATATATGTCAGTGGTAGAATACCCCTGGGTTCAATCTCCAGAACCATAAAGAAAAAAACATAGTTACATTATGGTAACACAACAAGAATATAGATGAAAAATTTTAAAGCTGTTTTACATGCTGCTCTAACACTGTTATACATTGAATCTGCTTGGTGCAACAGAAGAATAAGAAAAACACATTAAGAAAAATGCTCTGTGGAGGGGCTAGGGTTGTGGCTCAAGTGCAGAGTGCTTTGCTTAGTAAGTGTGAGGCACTGGGTTCGATCCTCAGCATCATATAAAAATAAATAAATAAAATAGAGATATTGTGTCCATCTACAACTTAAAAAATAAGAAAATGCTATGTGAACAAATGTTATATAAAAAAGTCTGGCTCTTTCTACTCTATGTCCATTCTTAAGAAAACACAGCATGTCCCCCTGAAGCAGTCATCTGGGAACAAGAAATAAGCCTCAGGTCTCTTTGTCCTGCCTCCTGCCATAGGGTTAACTGATTCTCACCCTTCACATGAAGGGATACTACTACCCCAAGAGAGCCTTCTTCTCCTGATCTGAGTGGAAAGAAGCCCTTGGTGTCTCCTCAGTGATGACTCACTGAAAAAATAAGATACTTCACACCTAGTTTCACACCTTCCATCCTTCCCAGTAACATCCAGTTCTTATTCTCTCTTTCAAGGATTAGTTATAGGGAGAAGCTGCCAAGCAAAGTTCTAGGGCCTTTCCTAGGTCAGAGACATTTTTGGAAGAAGACACAGAGCTATCAGTAATAAGCCCAACCTACCCACTTTCCTTGATATAGTAGAACAAAGTAATTTAAGCTAAAATAGATCACAATTAATTTTAGTATGGAAAAGGATTTGAAAATGATCATGAAGGTAGTATTTATGTACATCAAAACTGAAATAAGATGAAATGACATAAGAAAACCACATTTGTCTTTTTCATGAGATAGTGTCTATTAGATTTGGGTGCATATTTTGAGGGGGATGGGTATTAAATATGTTTGAAAGGATAACATAAATTCCTTCAAAATGTATAGAGTTAAACATTTCCCCCCTTTTAATTTGTGTCACATATGAATGCAGCCCTAATTTTCAAAATATGCTTTTGCTGATATGTTTAATAAGAATGAGAAAAAGTCTTCCCAGAGGACTAAAAAAATGGTGATCAATTCCAGGAAGTAGGGACCAATTAGGTGCCCTTTAAAAGTAATAATAAGCTTTTATTTAGTCAATGTTTTGCTGTATTGTCCTGGCTGGCCTCAAACTCCTGGGCTCAGGTGATCCTCCTGCCTCAGTCTCTTGAGTTAGTGGGACTACAGGCATGCACCACCACACCCAGCCCAGAATGATCTTTAAATTGTGCTGTTTTCTGATTTATTGTGGAGGACTGGTGACTGTTTAGGACAGTTTAATGAAGTTAAGTGTACCAGGTAGGACCTGAAGAAGAAATAAGGCAGAAGCTTGTGTGTGTGTTTTGAAGATACCAGTAACAGAGCAATCTTCATTTTGGCTAATGTGGATCCTTCTTTACGCAAGCTGCAGTCATATGTTTTTTTCTCCTTTTAGGTGTCTGGGAGAACAGCAGGCAGCTCTGCACAGTGGAAAAAGCTCTACCCAATCAGCTGAGAGCAGCAGTGTTGCAATGACTCCCACCTATGTGGACAGCCCACGAAAGGTAAAGGAGGCCACTCCTGTGGGGAACTGCCGAATGCTCACAGAGACCCAATGTGTAGGGCAGAATGGATAACCCTTCCAATCCAGGACTGAATGTGCTAAAACTTTCGATGAATTCTTCCCACACTCTTTTAAGGTTCTATTACTTTTACCATCTTTATTAACAAACTTTCATATTCAAATTGTAAGGAAGATAAAATTCTAGTTAAGTGCAGTTATAAAAGAAAGTAAAACTAAACTCTATTGGTTCAGTCCTGAGATCTGACTTGAGTTTTGAAATTGGCCATCTGGTTTTATTTTAGCATCATTGTTAGTTTTCCCAGTCAGGAGTACAGTGCTTCTGAAGAACCTTCTAAAAGATTTCATTGTTCTTTACTAATGGAATTACTATCAGTTTTCTTAGATTCCTGAGAAATATAGTCAGACAGAAGCGTTCTGGACAGAGTAGAACAAAAATAAAAAATTCCGAGATTTTATACCTCTACAAGGAATAGCAAGTGCAGTAGAAGGGCAGAAAATTCTATAGGTGAGGCTTTTTATCTTTTAAGACCAATAGACTTGACTTTGTTATCTTATCTCCTGAGAAATTCAAAATCTGAGATTATTCTGCTGTGGTAGGATGAGCTGAATGTACTTCTCTTATCTGGGAGATGAAAGAGATTGAGTGAATATATTTTATCTCTCTAGGCTATCATTTTATCTCCATGTCATAAAAATATTTCATGTCATTCAATATTTTTCAAAAGTATGATTTTTTTTTTTCCTTACCAGGAATCAGGCACTGTACCACCAAGTCATACATCCAGCCTCAAAATGATTTGTAAAAATAGCTATGAGCTGAGGTATAGCTTAGTGGTAGAGTATGTAGTTATGTAGTTAGTATGCACAGGCCATGTGTTCGTTTCCCCGGCACCACACACACAGAAAAGCCGTATAGTCAGGCATGGTGGTGTTTGCCTATAATCCCAGTAGCTTGAAAGGCTGAGGATCACAATTTTGAGGCCAGCCTCAGCAACTTAGGCCCTACGCATCTGTTTCAAAATAAAAGATAAAAAGGGCTGGAGATGTGGCTCAATGGTTAAGTGCCCTTCAGTTCAGTCCCTGGTACAAAAAAAGAAAAAAGCCATATAATATTTAATCATAGGAATGTAACTTCATTTGGACATTTTAAAATTAGAATTATAGATGATTTCTAATTTTGAGATAAATTTTGTTAATCATTCTATAAGTTATAATTTGTGATACATCACAATTATAAATAATGTTACAATGACCTTCCTCACAATAATATTTTGAGCATATCTCTGATTATTTCCTTAGCATAAGTTACTAGAATTATATTACTTGAATTACTCAGATGGAGGGATTAAAATATGAGACTTGTGGGGCTGGGGTTGTAGCTTAGTGGTAGAGCACTTGCCTTATATGTGTCAGGTGCTCATATTAAAAAAAAATGAGACAAAAATGCCATCTGAAGCTCTAGGCAAGTTATAGTCTATATGGACCAGTGGCCAGCAAACCTAAATATATACATTAGGCTTTTGGACCAAAAAACAAAATAAAGCTATTATATAGGTACTTCTATAAACATTTAACATTATAAAGCAGTTTATCTCTCTCAGACTGTAAAAAGACAGTAATTTGCCAGATTTGGACTACAAGCTATAGTTTATTGATCACTGCTCTAGGGAGTAACTTTAGGTTCCAAGGCGAACTGGTGTGCAAAGAATGTTCTATAGAAAAAGTTTTTTTTTTTTTTTTAACCTGTTCTCATGTGTACATGAATCTTAGCATCATCAGCACTTCTGCCAATATATGTTCTGGCAGAGAGGAGTCAGGAATGGAATAATGAGGTACAAAAGTCCCTTGTGTGCTGCCCACTAGCTTTTTTAGTTGTTTGTTTTAAACATTTGTTTATTGTCATCTTTGAGGATTTTAAAAAGTGCCAAGGATATGATAGAGAAATTATAGAATCACAAACATTTAGATTAAAATATACCAAACACCAAATGACTAGGTTGCTTTTTAGAATGTTCTCCTGATCTTCCAATTGAACATTTAAATCCAGCATAGTAACTGTTACTGTTGCTGGACATAGACTCCCAAGTTTAAAGAAGTGGAAGGAAAACTGCTATGAGATGTCCTGCTGATATGCTCAGAAATTCTCAGCCATATCTTCAGGTATCATTTTGTGTTGGCTGCATGAGCCAGTACCTGCCTGTGTTTCCCCATAGCCTCAACTTTCCAAGGTTTGTTTGCAATGGCTAATGGGGAGTAGCAGCAATATTGTTTTCAGTGGCTAATGGGAAATAGCAGTAATATCGCTAAAAAGAATATTCAGAAATTTCAATAATTGTAAAATTATTCTACATTTGAGTTGAAGAAAAATTGTAGGAAAGCAGAGACATTGATCAGGAGCCACTTCTGAATTTTAGTCGTAATCAGCATAAAAAATAAAAAGATATTAAAGGGACAGAGGCTGTTTGGAAAAATCTTCTATGTCATTTTTGTTTCAAGTACATGACCATTTTCACCCCATATGATTAGACTGGGGGTAGACAGCTTCAGAAAACCCCTCAAATGAGTGCTTGTGTACCTGACATTCTATGTATCTTAGCTTCTTGATGATTACACAATCAGTGGAGTAGAAGGTATGGCTGCTTCTGTACTGCTGTGTGCTTAGACGATTAATAGAGACTTCTTCCTGCATTGAATCCTCTTCTCCCATCTGGCTGCCATGTTCAATAACAGGCAGAAGAAACCTGATATCTCAGTATGTTTCTTGTCACCCAGCCAGGCAGGAGGCCAGGATGTTGCTATTATAGCCTTTGCCCTGTCATCCGCCAAAGCTGTGGCCTTTCCCTCTTCCTTGCCATAGGTCTGAAGGAATTTCAGAGCTATGTGGGAGGGCAAAAGTATCCAAGCCACACTCTTGGCAGACCTGAGGGAGCTTGGACACACCTTCTAACCCAGGTGCTTTCTCCCACACAGATGGGATATTCTGCCCAGGAAGGTGTGAGTTCTTGCTCATACTTTGCATGTGGATATTATCTTTCTGGGTGGCTCTCTCGCCTTATCTCTTTCTTCTTCTTTTTTATTTTGTATTTTTTTTTTACCCCATTTCCCCTCATGGGTCCTTGTTTTTCTCCTTCTCTTCTTGTTTTTATTTTTATGTTTTATGTTTCATCTCCTTCTTCTTCCCCCCATGGTTAACCGCTGGTATACACTCCATTTCTTCACTCTCTTGCACCTGCTGCTGTTGTTGCTGCTTCCTCCTCTTCTGACTTCAGGATGGGGCCTTCTTTATGGAGTTTGTCCGCAGTCCACGCACAGCATCATCTGCCTTCTACCCTCAGGTTAGTTCAACTCCAGGGCTCTGCAGCCCTTGCATGCCTGCCCATCAGCAAAAGCCATGACCTAGCCTTCTGTTCAGCTCCGAGCAGATGGAATTGGCTGAATCTGAGTTTGAGTTGCAGTCAAAATTTGAATTTGATCTCTGAGGTATCATCTCTTCCATGTTTGCAGTGATGGTAGAATAGAAGAGATTCATGTAAGAGGGACAAGTGATCCTCCTGATGTAGTCAAATTTCCTCATTGCTGCCTGACTAGTTCACATGGGTGCTATGGATGTCATCACATTGCATTATTTTCCCTTTTAACTTTTATAAGCAACATTAAATATGTACACTTAGCTGGGATGTGGTGGTACCTACCTGTAATTTCAGCTACTGGGGAAGTTGAGGCAGGAGTTTCCCAAATTCGAGGCCAGCCTCGAATTTAGCAATGACCCTGTCTCAGAATAAAAAGTAAGAGGGCTGATGACCTTTTACCTACAGTCAGTGGTAATGGGTTCAATACCCTTTACAAAGAAGAAAAAGAAATATGCATACTCAAGGACTGGACATTCATTATTTTCCTTCTAGTACTAGATGGATTTATACTATATGGCAAGAAGTAGTGAATAAACAAAGCCAACATTTACAAATATGTATGCTCTGTGTTTTGGGTTAATGATGTGTGACCCTGGGTAGTTTGCCTACCCTCTGGGCTTCACTCAACTCATTTGTCAAATAAAAGATTTAGACTAGATTTTTAAGGGCTTTCAAGCCCTTAAAATTCTTCACTTTCCTTAAGTATTTCATCTCACAACATAACCTAAAAGTTAATTACAGAATTAATTACAGAATTATAGAAATGGAGAAATTGTGGGATGAAGTTGCTTTATACAGCATAGGGTAGAGCTGGGATTTAAATACAGGACACATAGCCTTGACTTGAGACTTGCTTTATAATTAACAATAACAATAACTGTTTTAATAGGTCCCTGGTGAAGGGAAATAGTGTTCTTTCCTTTACTGAGGCCTCTAAGTAGAATAGGAAATTGACTTTAGTTATAGAGACTCCAGTAAACAGGGTTCATGCTGAATGAGGCAATGTAAAGAGGATGGAATTGGGCGGTTCATATTTCTTATTTAATAGAATTCAAAAGCATCATTTATTGTGTGCCCACTCTGCTGGTGCTTTGTAAACAATATTTAGTTCAACGTATAAGGTGAAGTTATTATCAACCCTTCTTCCAGATGAAAACATCAAGACTTAATGAAGCTAGCTGATCATAGAGCACTCAACTAGTGAGTGGTTGAGCCCTTACACTGTGCATTTGGTTAACATTGGAGTCTCCCCTTTAATAGGAGATCAGATATTGCCATGCTTGTTGTGCAGGTCTTCAGATGTCTGTATCTACCTGTTCTCATGAGTTCATGACCCTGAGTAAAAGCGTCTCAGGACCTCCATGTCCTAATACAAACCTTTCTCATGTCTGAATGTGGGAGGCACACTTGATTTTTTTGTTTAAAACAGGCTTGCATCAAACCATATTGTCTTTTGCTTTCTACCCAAGGCATGCCCTTGTGAACAGTTTTGGACTTAGATTAGAATTTAACATAATAAAACCCAATAGGGCTGCAAGAGAGTTATTTAATAATAACCTAATAATCCATACACTTCATGTGGTAGAATTCACCTGTAGGACAAAAGTGTGATTCTTTACAATTGGGAATAGTACATAAAGATCAGATTTTGGGAGAAGCACATCCAGTTTATATTACCCACCAGGTGTATTGTTAAAAAATGTGTAAATTATTTACAAAATTAACTCATATTAGAGATAGTAAGGGAGCTCCCTACATATATACAAAATTAAATTGTACCTTTTTAATTGTTTTATGTTCACTTTTTCTTTTTTTGGTATGGGAATTGGACCTAGCCTTTTTCAGTTTTTATTTTGAGACAGGATCTCACTAAGTTGCCCAGACTGGCCTTAGCATCCTGAGTTTCTAGGATTATGCCCCATGTCCTTTTGAGTATTAGAAATAATATACTCTTTTCAACAAATTTCAATGGAATGGAATCATAAGGAGCCTATTTCTGATGATAGTCCAATTAAGTTACATGTCAATGAAAAACTGATAATAGAAAACCCCCATATATTTTGAAATAAAATAACATACTTCTTTTTTTTTTTTTTGGTACCAGGGATGAACGTAGGTGTGCTTAACCACTGAGCCACATCCCTAGTGCATTTTTATTTTTGAGACAAAATCTTGCTGTGTTGCTTAGGGCCTTGCTAAATTGCTGAGGCTGGCTTTGAATTCTGGATTCTCGTGCCTCAACCTCCTGAGCACGTGGGATTAAGGCTTGTGCCACCATGCTTGGCAAAGTAACACACTTCTAATTAATGTGGCAGGAATGATATAAATACCTAACATTGAGCTGGGTATGTGATGGACATGTTGTCAATAATGATTAGGATTAGTATAGTCATCTTTCTATGTCCATCCACAGATTCAACCAACTGTGTATCAAAAATATTCAGGAAAAAAATGCATCTATACTTTACATGTACAGACTTTTTATTGTCATCATTATTCCTTAAGCAATACAGGACTGGGATGTAACTCTGATAAAACACTTGCCTCACATGCATTAAGGCTTGGGTTTGATCCCCAGTTACAAAAAAGAAAAGACAAAAAACTAAAAATAAAACTAAAACAAAAAACCCTAAGCAATACAGTATAACAACTGTTTGTACAGCACTTGTACTGTATTAGGTATTATACATAATCTAGAGATAATTTGAAGTGTATAGGTGGATGTGTACAGGTTATATGTAAATAGTATGCCATTTTTTTATATAAAGGACTTTTTTTTTTTTTTTTTTTTTGTGCATGGGGATGGGGTGGGGTGGGGTTTATTGGGGATTGAACTCACAGGCACTTCACCACTGAGCCACATCCCCAGCCCTATTTTGTTTTTTATTGTGTCTCACTGAGTTGCTTAGCGGCTCACTTTTGCTGAGGCTGGCTTTGAACTTGCAATTCTCTGCCTCATCCTCCTGAGCTGCTGAGATTACAGGCATGCACCATCACACCTGGCTTTTTTTTTTTTTTTTTTTTTTTTATCTTTTTAAAATTGGGGATTGAATCCAGGGGTACTTTGTCACCGAGCTACATCAGTCCTGTTTTTTATTTTGGTCTTAAAACAGGGTCTCATCAAGTTGTTGAAGGTCTTTAATGAGGCTGCCCTTGAACTTGCCATCCTCCTACCTCAGCCTCCTGAGTAGCTGACATTATGAACATGTACCACTTTGCTTGGCATCCTTGGATTTAAATATCCTGGGGGTCCTGGTGTCCTGGAACCAGTTCCCTGCAGATCCTGAAGGGTGATTGTTACTATGTTGCCAGATTATAATGTCAATTTAATGCATCTCTGCTTATTAAGGACTATTCCCTCTCTGCTTTTTCTTTCCACCCTAATCCAGGACCAGAAAATATCAAATGTGTAGTTAGCCTCTTAAAAGAAAGGAGCTACATGTTAAAAGACTATCAACTTTTAGGCTCTGGTGTCAAGCTGCCTATTACTCCATGAACTGGTGCAAACCTCTCTCTTTGCCAACTGCACTAACCTCCCCCAACCTTGGGTTTTTAATCTGTAGAATGGGACTAATAATTCTGCTCTTTTCATAGAGTTGCTATGAGAGTGAAATGAGATGAAGCATCTCTGTGGTTAGCTCAGACCCGGCTCACAGTCATTCCTTTTTTTTAAAGATATTGATGGACCTTTATTTTATTAATTTATTTATATGTGGTGCTGACCCAGTGCCTCACACATGCTAAGCAAGTGCTCTACCTCTGAACTCCAACCCCAGCCCCTCACAGTCATTTTTTATAGTGGATCTGTGTATGGTTGAGGGAGTCTGGAGTGGGAGGGAGCACAGGAATATAAATCAGTGAATGAGCTTGATTGAACTAATCAGCAATTTTCTCAATGTGTCTAAAAATGGGCTTCAACTGGGTGGCCTTTTCCACCCTTTCTAGCTCTATGATGACCCTGCTGGATCTTGGAATATAAAGTCCTCAGTTCTTGCTGAGTTGCAAAGGTGATGCCATGGTTTTTTATCCCTCAGAGTAGGTCTTTCCTGAGAAGAGATTATTGTTAGTTAAGCTGGGGGGAGGAGCTATCACTGCAATCCAACTTTACTAAGGTAAAAAAATTACCTGTAAAACTAAAGCTGACAATAGTACACAGGGGGTTCCAAGTAACAGAGTTGTGTGCCACAGTTGGTGGTCCCTTATGCCACCAGTTAATCATTTTGACTGTGATGAATTTGCCACTCTTTGTTTGATAGCTAGAATACAGTTGCAGTTTTCCTGTTCTCTAGAAATTGACTTTTGTCATCACAAACAAACATAATTAAACATAAGAATTTGGAGGGCATGAGAAACACTTGATCAGGTAATTTTTTCCTTAGGAGTTAACCTCATGATGTCTTCTGTCTACAGTTCAGAGCCTAAAGGGACGTGGTGATCAAGAGAGGCCCTGACACGTGAGACCTTAGTCAGTATTAGGGCATCTTCCCTTTCTTGACTCTTTGATCCCCAGCAGATACTCTCATAAGGAGGCTTAGGTCCCAGCAGCCCAGCCCAGCCCAGCATAAAAGGTTGGATTTGCATAGTAAATGTTTCTGGAGTCATCACTTTGTTTAGTTATCTCCATGTCCATGGACACACTCCTCCCAATATACCCTGTAGCAGCCTCCTGTGTGGTCTTCTGCTGCCATCCAATTCCTTTCCAATCTGTTTTCTATCCTGCCTCCAGGGTTATTTTCTGAAATGAAGTCTGATTATATCATCCATCATTAACCTTTCCAAGCCTTTCTTTCCTTTGGGATAAAGATTGAAATGCTTATTATGCATGAAAGGTCCTGCACAATTGGGGCCCCAAACTTTCCAGTCTCATTTTCTTCCTCATTCTCATCCTCACTCTTATACTCCAGTGACCGCTGTAAGCACCAGAT